GATTAAGAACCCCATTACATTTGTCAAAACGTTAGTTACCTCTATGTAACTTGGTTGTAAGGCTTCCTGTAGCCTACTGAACAATCTCACTACGTTTGCCAAAAAGCAAATAACCTCTAGAATACACGATCCTAAGGCTTCTTGAATTTAACGTGACCACTGACCACTTCACTAAACCTTTATGTATCATTGTCATTCTTGTTGTTATCAGGCCTCCTTAATCTTGCTTAACTGGTTAAAAATGTGGTTCGGATTCCACTATAAACTGTAGGTCCCTTAGTTGCCATTAGCTGTATGGGCTATTAATTAACAGCTGTGTCTAAGGAATATGTCGGCCTTAGTCACTAACAAGACTACAAGATCGCGCCACTCATCCTACACTCATCCTTCACTCATATTTGGGTTAAAATACGCACATAGTGGCGTCCCCATCTTAACTAATTAATTGATGGATTGATTGATTGATTAACAACCTCACTTTGTTCATCAAAATGCAAGTGTAATCTATGTCTATCTATGTGGTTAGCAGCCATCTTAAACGCAACTATTTGTCTCATCTCGTCTCACCTCTATCAGCTTGACAGGAAAACCTACCTAAGGTGGTCTCGGCAAGGCCAGGGCAAAATCAACAGAAAATTGAATTATACATCAGGCCTTAAGGTTTCTGCCCTTCATAAACAAGTAACAAGTTACTGTACTCCTTATACTAAAAATGTGATCACAAAAAATCACACTTTTATAACACCTAAAATTGCTATAATATCCGCTTACCAAATAAATATTTGGTCTCAGGGATATAAAGAAGATTCGAGATTCACACCAGAACTTCGAGAAAGCCTCGGGAGAGCTAGACATGGCCCTGCAGCGCAACAGTCAAGCACCAAAGTCCCGCATTCTAGAAACTGAGGAAAGTCAGAGACAGCTGGCCGCGGCACGAGAGTGCTTTAGGCGCACGGCACTCAACCACGTCCACCTGGTTACCATGCTTCAGGCAAGGAAACCTCATGAGGTTATATCAACGGTGAGTTGCGGATGTACAATTCACAACCTTTCTAACCTTAGAAGGATCATTTGCCATTTTAAAAGATTTTTTATGTTGTGTTTTACGTTTATATACACCATATGAACTGTTAATGATTTTGTAAAAAACTTTGCAAACCCTGGTCTTGTTGTTTTGCTTTTTGATTCATATTGTGTTTCTCCCTACTAACCTAACTTAACACATTCTTCATTTTTGCAGTTGTTGTCATACATGCACGCCTGTACGACGTATTTCCACCAAGGCTACGATCTTTGTGAGGAGCTACAGCCATTTTTTAAATCACTTGGGGATGAGGCAAGTTTTATGTATTTTTAAATTATTTTTTCATTTGCATTACCCTAGTTTACAATAAACAAAACAGAACAATTTTGGTCTTTCCTTACTGAAAATGAATAGCCAGAACTCTTATGGCTTGTTTAGAGGATATAATTAAATACATTTACAAAATAAGACTGCCTTTATAATGTGTGCATTGTTGACTATTCCAGTTTGGTATATTCACTAAGTTTATTAAAAAAAATGGTGTCACTTATAAACTGTCTATGCCCTACTGTATTCTTAAAATTCAATTTAATTTATTCAGAAAAAGAAACATTAGCCTACATATAACTTTACATAAAATACTCTGAAATTATAGGCCTAACTGTTCCATTTTTCCAAAATAGGCCAATTGGCCCGAACTTATTGATCAGCAACCTCTTAAGGACTTTTGACATGATAGGCACGAGAAAGAGTTCATTATAAATAAAGACAAAAACTATATATTTGCCCTATACAAATATTCTTATAAGTATACCATTCAATTGGCCTCGTCTCAATTTTTAAAGTGCTCCAAATGTGATGTATTTATTTTACAAAAATGTTTCCGAGGGAGACAAAGAGCGGGACAAACAGTTAGTACTGTACTCTAAAAAGTAAAATTTGACATAAATGTTGTGATAGAATAAAATAAAACAGTTTGATAGGATAGCTGGCTTACCTGAGTGGGAAAATATTCCATAGTTTTCACAAGACACAAACACTTCACACAGTACACAAAAAGTACTCAGGTATTTCACTGTCCCTAATAGAATTTTCAACCTAGGAAGGTGTGAGTTGGTAAAACAGATCCTAAAGTAGGCCTACAATTTGTTCATGGTTTCAACATAGTAACATATATTCAAATAATTTTTTCCAATTTTGGTGATTTTAGCTAGTATAGAGTTTCACCAAGTCCTTGAGCATCTTAAAAGTACACTGTTAAGTACAATTAGTTTGACTTGTAAGCAAAATGAACTTTGAGTTTCAGACTATCAAAACATTGTTTGCCTGAGACATTTAATCAAACTAATACATTACTATACAAACACTTAGGTCATACTCAATGATGAGTCATTCTCAATACTTGTCCAGTCAGTGAGGAGCTCTTTTCAGACTGGTGTAGTTCTTGTAGTGTTAGAAATATTGTAATTTTCAGTTGTTTGTTTGCTTTGAAGTTTGTTACACAAGTGATCATGATGTTATGTTATTTTTATTTAAAGGTAGGCCTACTAGTATTTGGAAAAGTTTAATCTTTTTTTATTAGTGGAAGAAATTTTTTTACTTGGTTGGTATAAGTCAATTTAATTTTGTTTAGATACATCATTAGCTAATTGTTAGTAGACAATTGATTAATGATACTTATTATCTAAGGTGAAAATAATGGATAGAGGGAGTAAGATAAACATACAATGCAATATGGAAGAATAATTTCTTTTAACTTAATAACTAACTAAACTTAATAACTTTCTTTAACTCTTTTTTGCACAAAAATATTATAAAGAATAATTCACTTTTACGAGGGCGGGTTTTTAAGTAAAGGCCGGGTTCACGTATAAATCTGTAGCTCGCTTGTACACCACAACGAGGCTCATCACCATTTACTGACATCATTTGTGAACAAAATGACACACATTTCTGCTCTGTAGCTGTCATGTACGCTTGACAGTGTGTTTAAAAAATTTTTTTTACGATCAAGTCTCCTGCCGCATTTAAGGTTAAGTCAGTAATACGTTTTTTGATAACAAGAAACATATCCGATACTAACATTCATAGCTATATGACTCGAGGTGATGTCCCGAATTCAATGAGTGAGGGTAAAGTGCGGAAATGGGTTATGAAGTGTAAAGATGGCAGTGAAATCCTTTTTTTCGTAGTGGTCTTCTTTGAGAAGTCTGGGTACCCAACAAAAACGCAATTTTTTTCCGAAATGAGCATTTTTACGACCATTTTTAAACTCCCCAGCCTATTTCTACACTTTCCACGCTATCTTTGCATCAGGGTCATAATCTTCAGTCATCTTTCAATGAATGTCGGAATCGGATATGTTTCTTGTAATAAAAACACGTATCCCTGAGCTTTCCGGTCACATCGCATCACTCTGTGAGTTTGTATGTAGCTAGAGTCCCTCAGCCAACGTCGTACTCTGGTAAACAGTCAGGATCTGGTAGAACACTCTCAGCCTCACATGTATTTGACCATGTCGCTCATTGCATGGCACCACTCTGTGAGTTTGTATTCTGTAGCTAGAGTCCCAGAGAGCGGAGGTAGGCCAGCTGCAGAAGACACTCAGCCAACGTCGTACTCTGGTCAACAGTCAGGATCTGGTAGAACACTCTCAGCCTCACATGTATTTGACCATGTCGCTCATTGCACGGCATCACTCTGTGAGTTTGTATTCTGTAGCTAGAGTCCCAGAGAGCGGAGGTAGGGCCAGCTGCAGAAGACACTCAGCCAACGTCGTACTCTGGTCAACAGTCAGGATCTGGTAGAACACTCTCAGCCTCACATGTATTTGACCATGTCGCTCATTGCACGGCATCACTCTGTGAGTTTGTATTCTGTAGCTAGAGTCCCAGAGAGCGGAGGTAGGCCAGCTGCAGAAGACACTCAGCCAACGTTGTACTCTGGTCAACAGTCAGGATCTGGTAGAACACTCTCAGCCTCACATGTATTTGACCATGTCGCTCATTGCACGGCATCACTCTGTGAGTTTGTATTCTGTAGCTAGAGTCCCAGAGAGCGGAGGTAGGCCAGCTGCAGAAGACACTCAGCCAACGTCGTACTCTGGTCAACAGTCAGGATCTGGTAGAACACTCTCAGCCTCACATGTATTTGACCATGTTGCTCATTGCATGGCACCACTCTGTGAGTTTGTATTCTGTAGCTAGAGTCCAGAGAGCGGAGGTAGGCCAGCTGCAGAAGACACTCAGCCAACGTCGTACTCTGGTCAACAGTCAGGATGTAGTAGAACACTCTCAGCCTTACATGTATTTGACCATGTCGCTCATTGCATGGCACCACTCTGTGAGTTTGTATTCTGTAGCTAGAGTCCCAGAGAGCGGAGGTAGGCCAGCTGCAGAAGACACTCAGCCAACGTCGTACTCTGGTCAACAGTCAGGATCTGGTAGAACACTCTCAGCCTTACATGTATTTGACCATGTCGCTCATTGCACGGCATCACTCTGTGAGTTTGTATTCTGTAGCTAGAGTCCCAGAGAGCGGAGGTAGGCCAGCTGCAGAAGACACTCAGCCAACGTCGTACTCTGGTCAACAGTCAGGATCTGGTAGAACACTCTCAGCCTCACATGTATTTGACCATGTCGCTCATTGCACGGCATCACTCTGTGAGTTTGTATTCTGTAGCTAGAGTCCCAGAGAGCGGAGGTAGGCCAGCTGCAGAAGACACTCAGCCAACGTCGTACTCTGGTCAACAGTCAGGATCTGGTAGAACACTCTCAGCCTCACATGTATTTGACCATGTCGCTCATTGCATGGCACCACTCTGTGAGTTTGTATTCTGTAGCTAGAGTCCCAGAGAGCGGAGGTAGGCCAGCTGCAGAAGACACTCAGCCAACGTCGTACTCTGGTCAACAGTCAGGATCTGGTAGAACACTCTCAGCCTCACATGTATTTGACCATGTTGCTCATTGCATGGCACCACTCTGTGAGTTTGTATTCTGTAGCTAGAGTCCCAGAGAGCGGAGGTAGGCCAGCTGCAGAAGACACTCAGCCAACGTCGTACTCTGGTCAACAGTCAGGATCTGGTAGAACACTCTCAGCCTCACATGTATTTGACCATGTCGCTCATTGCATGGCACCACTCTGTGAGTTTGTATTCTGTAGCTAGAGTCCCAGAGAGCGGAGGTAGGCCAGCTGCAGAAGACACTCAGCCAACGTCGTACTCTGGTCAACAGTCAGGATCTGGTAGAACACTCTCAGCCTTACATGTATTTGACCATGTCGCTCATTGCACGGCATCACTCTGTGAGTTTGTATTCTGTAGCTAGAGTCCCAGAGAGCGGAGGTAGGCCAGCTGCAGAAGACACTCAGCCAACGTCGTACTCTGGTCAACAGTCAGGATCTGGTAGAACACTCTCAGCCTCACATGTATTTGACCATGTCGCTCATTGCACGGCATCACTCTGTGAGTTTGTATTCTGTAGCTAGAGTCCCAGAGAGCGGAGGTAGGCCAGCTGCAGAAGACACTCAGCCAACGTCGTACTCTGGTCAACAGTCAGGATGTAGTAGAACACTCTCAGCCTCACATGTATTTGACCATGTCGCTCATTGCATGGCACCACTCTGTGAGTTTGTATTCTGTAGCTAGAGTCCCAGAGAGCGGAGGTAGGCCAGCTGCAGAAGACACTCAGCCAACGTCGTACTCTGGTCAACAGTCAGGATGTGGTAGAACACTCTCAGCCTCACATGTATTTGACCATGTCGCTCATTGCATGGCATCACTCTGTGAGTTTGTATTCTGTAGCTAGAGTCCCAGAGAGCGGAGGTAGGCCAGCTGCAGAAGACACTCAGCCAACGTCGTACTCTGGTCAACAGTCAGGATCTGGTAGAACACTCTCAGCCTTACATGTATTTGACCATGTCGCTCATTGCATGGCACCACTCTGTGAGTTTGTATTCTGTAGCTAGAGTCCCAGAGAGCGGAGGTAGGCCAGCTGCAGAAGACACTCAGCCAACGTCGTACTCTGGTCAACAGTCAGGATGTGGTAGAACACTCTCAGCCTCACATGTATTTGACCATGTCGCTCATTGCATGGCATCACTCTGTGAGTTTGTATGTAGCTAGAGTCCCTCAGCCAACGTCGTACTCTAAACAACAGTCAGGATCTGGTAGAACACTCTCAGCCTCACATGTATTTGACCATGTCGCTCATTGCATGGCACCACTCTGTGAGTTTGTATTCTGTAGCTAGAGTCCCAGAGAGCGGAGGTAGGCCAGCTGCAGAAGACACTCAGCCAACGTCGTACTCTGGTCAACAGTCAGGATCTGGTAGAACACTCTCAGCCTCACATGTATTTGACCATGTCGCTCATTGCATGGCACCACTCTGTGAGTTTGTATTCTGTAGCTAGAGTCCCAGAGAGCGGAGGTAGGCCAGCTGCAGAAGACACTCAGCCAACGTCGTACTCTGGTCAACAGTCAGGATGTGGTAGAACACTCTCAGCCTTACATGTATTTGACCATGTCGCTCATTGCATGGCACCACTCTGTGAGTTTGTATTCTGTAGCTAGAGTCCCAGAGAGCGGAGGTAGGCCAGCTGCAGAAGACACTCAGCCAACGTCGTACTCTGGTCAACAGTCAGGATGTGGTAAAACACTCTCAGCCTTACATGTATTTGACCATGTTGCTCATTGCATGGCATCACTCTGTGAGTTTGTATTCTGTAGCTAGAGTCCCAGAGAGCGGAGGTAGGCCAGCTGCAGAAAACACTCAGCCAACGTCGTACTCTGGTCAACAGTCAGGATGTGGTAAAACACTCTCAGCCTTACATGTATTTGACCATGTTGCTCATTGCATGGCATCACTCTGTGAGTTTGTATTCTGTAGCTAGAGTCCCAGAGAGCGGAGGTAGGCCAGCTGCAGAAAACACTCAGCCAACGTCGTACTCTGGTCAACAGTCAGGATGTAGTAGAACACTCTCAGCCTTACATGTATTTGACCATGTCGCTCATTGCATGGCACCACTCTGTGAGTTTGTATTCTGTAGCTAGAGTCCCAGAGAGCGGAGGTAGGCCAGCTGCAGAAGACACTCAGCCAACGTCGTACTCTGGTCAACAGCCAGGATGTGGTGGAACACTCTCAGCCTCACATGGAGGGCTACCTCTACAAGAGAACCAGTAACACATTCAAGACCTGGAACAGACGATGGTTCTACCTGGACGGCAACCAGCTTATGTACAGGAAGAGGACCGGTGAGTTAAGAAATGTGACATAAGTTAGATGGCGGTCCAGTAGGTAAATGAATACTCTATGATCCGTGGCTTCTAAGTAAATAGTAGAACTTCAGCTATCTAAATCAATAGGGATCTTACCCCATTTGGGTGATCAAAAGTCCAGATGTGGACTCCCATGAGGAAGTGACATTAGGCAAATGACTCATCAAGGTGAGTTATATCTTTGTACCATAACTAATTCTGTAAAATTCAAATTTGTATGAAATCGACATAACAAACTTGAGAAGGGATATTGATAAAGGCCCATATCACAGCGTTAAAACTTTAGCCAAACTCACAAGGAAGTAGACCTATGTTTGTAATTGTGTGACTATAGTTTTGGTTGTCTACCAGGGGAAGATTCAGCCACAGTGATGGAGGAAGACCTGAAGTTGTGTTCTGTCAAACCAGTAACAGACTCCGAGAGAAGGTTCTGCTTTGAAGTTGTCTCTCCTTCCAAGTAAGATTTGTACTCTTTACCTTAACTTAATTTGACACTGGAAATACCGATAGCAATAATGAACAGGAACGTTCCTTAGCTTTTTGGTAACGGTTTTATTATTATTTTTGTCACCTACTATTTGCTCATCCAGTACGTTTCGGCCTATCCCTAAAATAGGATAATACGATCAACGTTATTTCTCTCACTCAATGTAACAGTTTAGATGATGTTGCAAAAATAATATGGTATTCTCAGTATGCCAAGGCACCAAGGTACTTTATTATTTAAAGATGCTCGTTGTCAATAGGAGGACATGATCAGTGTTATTTCACTCACACGTTCTAACAGTACAGTGGACGTTACAAAATAAAATATTATTCTCAGTAATCTAATACCAAGGTGACACTTCTGTAATAGTATTATTTATCCTATTACATTAAATAACCTCCAACATAAATGTCTTTTTTTTGTAAAAAAACTTGTCTTTATCGTTAACAAACACTCCCCCGTCTCATATTGGGTATGAGCTTTGACTATTAATGGTATGAGACACAATAAAGTAACTCAAAAAAGCTGGGTACAATTTCAAACTAAAAAAAAAAATGGCTGTTAGATTTATTGAGAAGTCTGATAACAAGTTGATAAAACTAAACTTGATGAAAGATACAGAAATCTATATATCTAATTCCGTAAGCCCAAAATTTTACAATGAAATTGTGAGCGAACGGGAGGCCGTAGAAAGCTGGGAGAGGTCTCATTTTAAAGGTCTGGGCTTGAAATTTTGGGGAAAATTATTCATTTTTCTTAATTATGCACCAAAAGGTTGTTTTGGAATAAAATAATTCACATTTAAATAACATGGGAATCTAGGTCATGTCTGCTTTGTTTACTTTAAAACATGTGGTTTAACTTTATTTAAAGCATATGGTACCCTGAAGAAAAGTTGAACATACAATTGACTATATAAATTCAATTGCACGATCTGGAATGTCACCACACAAATTAGTTTTAAAAGTTGGTTCAATACTGATGCTCATTAGAAATATGAATCTAGGGTCTGGATTAGTAATGGAGTACAATTGGTTGTGTTAGGTATGTCTGAAAAAAGGGTAAGGTTAGTAGTAATTACTGGAGTAGGCAAAGGGAACATATTTTTAATGCCAAAAATAAAACTGATATCTACAGATCCTAATATGCCGTTTAAGTTTACAAGGAAAATTTTCACTAAAATTGGCATTTATTTGAAAAATTTATCTCCACGTGTTTTATCTAAGTGAATATGTCTATATTCAAAGACATTTTTATATTTTTAATTAATAGGCATGAAGATTATTATTGAAAGTTTTCCTTAGTTGTATTATGATTAGAAAGTTTATATTATAAACATACCGCATGAAAAGTCCTTTGTAATATTTATTTTTAACAGAGCAGACATCAAAATGCATTATGCAAGTAAGTAATAACTAACAGGTATACATATTATAATATACAAAACTTTTAAACGATAATCAAGGTAGGGTAACCTATGAGACTAATAATTTGTACAAAATAATTACTATAGTCCTCGCCACCCTAAGTTGAGGCAGCCATAGGCCGCACTAGATATACGCCGTGCTGCCTTGGGCTGCCTCAACTAGGGTGGCGAGGACTATAGAACATATAGATAGGGGCTATTGTCCCTACAAGCCACTAGTATGTACCTAAAGTTAATGGTTTGTTAATTATTAAAACTTAAAACCAGTCGACATGTTTATAAAGACAACATAAATACACCTGAATTCGCTAATGTAAACTAATCCAGACCCTGTTTGGATTACCAATTTATATTGATTAGCTGCACATGCAGTAAAGTCACAAAGCATTGTACAAAGTTGGCCTGAATATTGTTCTTCAAGGAGATATTTTTCAGGAGTCACATTCTTCAAGCAGACTCTGAAGACATGTATAATGCGTGGATATCTGCTCTGCAGCAAGCCATTGACACAGCACTGCAGCAACGAAATTCATCAACGGAAAAACAGGGGGAGCCCAGGAAACCTAGGTAGGGTGTTTTTGTATTGCCCTCGCTTGTAAAGATATTGGGATATTTTGAAAATTTTTAAAAAAGGTCACATGCATGTACCACATATCTAATATATTTTCTTTATAACAAAAAATTTGTCTTTTAAAGTTTAATCTAAATACAATCAGTTAATCTTAAAACACTTTTAATCTGTACCTGCTCAGTCAATGCTGGTTCTACATTTTCGGAACGTGTTGGGGAAAAATATTAGCAGAGTTACCTTTGTAATAGTAGTGGTTCGAGTTTAACTCTTGTTAAATGCATTGATGCTAGAGCCAACACTTATAGAATCACTTTGTATAATTGGATCATGTGATCCTGCAATGTATTTGTCCATTACATACTGTTCTTCATTCAGTGTGCTTTCAGTTTAAAATCATCCTTTGTCTGTTTGCAGAATTATACCTGTGAATGCCCTATAACTGTATGTTGTGATGTAATAGGATCTGTGAACAAATGTTGAAGATCGCAGGTAACGAACGATGTTGCGACTGTGGTGCAGACAAACCTAGCTGGGCCAGTATAAACCTGGGAATCACACTGTGTATAGGTGAGTAGTGTGAATAAGATGTTAACAATTTTATATTACTGTTATTTCTGTTCCTATAACACATCACCAGGAGTATGTGAAAACATCCTTCATCTAGCCCAAAAGGGAAATACATTGGAGGGTAAGACAATAACACAATTGAACCTTTAACAATTATTTATGAGAGCATACAAATTGACTTGGGTGCTGACATAGAAATCCTCTCTATATGGACCACCTGTAGCCAATCATTGTTATTAAAATATAACCTTTGACTACAGAGCCTACTATTAATACAACTAGACATTCCATCCCCATGTTAAACTTGTAGCAATTTTTTTAACCAAAATCGTCGTAGTTGATGTGAGCCACCGACAGAATGTGCTGATCTAAATTACTGATTTCTGTCGAATACACAATCTTTTTTACCAACTCAAAACTAATGGAATGACTTACTGTGAGCTATAGCAACTGTTATGACCCATCAACTTGGCCGGCAACAAAAAAATAAGGTAGAAAATAGAGCTTTAGTCACTAGCGCATTCTGTGACTGGCTCACACAACTACGTTCTTTTTTAACAAAGAATTGGCTACAGCTGGTCCATATAGATGGGACGTCTAACTCACAAAGAGTGTTGCAGTCTGAAGTTCAATTTTTACTGTAGTTTTCCTGTTACAGTTGGTTGTAAAATATGCTATAATTTACTAAATTGAACTTTGAGTATAATTTCAGTTTGAATTGTTAAAAATAGTTGGTGTATTCAACAAAAATAAGCGACTTACATCATTGACTTTGTCAGTGGCTGAATTCCACTATATTAAATTTCATCCTAAAACTAGCAACAGATGTAAAATATGGATGAGAATGGGATATCTACTTTACTCCTTAATAAAAGGTCTTAAAGTGTTACAACATGTTCCAGCATGTTCGGGAGTGCACCGCAGCCTTGGTGTACACCACAGCAAAGTGAGATCATTGACACTGGACGCCTGGGAGCCTGAAATACTCAAAGTTATGGCAGAACTAGGCAATGCAGTTGTCAACAACATTTACGAGGCCAACGTAGACGAGCAAGCTGTGAGGGCGACTCCTGATTGTGAAGGGTAAGCTGGTTGGCTCGTGTGGCCTAGTAGATGGTATGCAGGATTTATGTTTTAGAGGCTCTATTCCTATTAATCACCAATGGATTCTATTTTTTTGTGATCTTGTGCTTTAGAGCCTTGAGCTGGTGGTCCATCTTACTGAAAAACAAGAAATATCAAAGCGCAATTGGAAATTTAAAATAAATTCAGGCAATTGGAAATTTGCCTAGTCTGCAGGTTTGCTGCGGCGTGGGTATTTTATTAAATGGTGTAGATTTTTTTTTAATTAGCTTACTTTCCCAATAAATCATATAAGCTCATTAAACTGATGAAAGATTGTAGGCTACTATTTCTTAAAAATGTCAAAGAACGTCTCTTTAATAAAGTTATATGTCTACAAAGTTGCAAGCTCTGTAACTTTTTCCCCCAAAGAAACATGCAAGCTGATTCAACATATATTCAATAATCGTGGTACTATTTGACGGAGTACTACATTAGTTGCAAAACCAGTTTCACAAGTAGGCCTACCGTTAAAAAAATAGATTTTATTAAAAAAGGTAAATAATACAAGTTGTAACTGTCGAGTACCGGAAGGGGTTCAGCTGCGGTAGCATTTTTAACATTTTGCTATACACAACTTGAAAATGCTACATTGTTTTTGCAGGCTATAAGAAATTTGCTACAAAAATAATTAAAGGTGCAATGTTCAAACATGTAAGATTACTGAAAATTCTTTGAAAATGCTTAAAGAATAATATTTTGGCACCAGTTATCTGAGAGTTTGTAGCGTTTTGCCTAAAACAAATTCCACTCCAGCCTATAACCTGAGAACCGGTAATCCTGTTTTTGGATTATGCGGTTACGAGCATACTGCCTCAGTTACAAGAAAAATAGATTCCTCTTCATTGCCGAGTTTATTGAATAAGGGTGAAGGGTATTTCTTTAAAAAAATGAACAATTAGGCTCAATTCCATTGATGAATTATACACAATTTTTCAATAGTTGCAACAAAAATTTTAACCTTTTACTCGTAAACATTTCCAGAGGCTAACCACGGATCATCTTTTAAAACTTCCTTTTTGTATGTTTTTAACATGATTGCTGTTGATATAAACCTGATTCTCACAGAAGTGTGAGAGAAGCCTGGATCAAAGCCAAGTGGGTTGAGAGAAGATTTGCTCGACCTCTCGCAGTGTCACCCGGGCGTTTGTCACGATCTCCTGCGATACGCAAGTGGAGTGTAAGAAAATTGCGACGGCGACCTCACTCACGCGACAACCTGGAGCGGCCCTCACGTCTGTCCAAGTTGAGGGAAAGATCTGCCGAGGCACAGCGAGATGGGTGAGTCTTTTGAATTTTTTTCATTTAAGTTGGTTAGGAGATAAGCAGGAATGAGTCACAAATTAATTAGTGTTTAGGTTATATTGCTCTCCTAGTTGTCAAGTCACCATTTCCTGAGAAAAGTCTGTATACTTTTTGATGGATACTGGACCCAACTATACTTGATTTTAATGAAATCAAAATTTTGAGTGGGTTTTTATTAAATAATCCTGGCTTTAGAACCAACTGATCTTGGTCAGTAACAAAGCTATCATCTCCTCTATTCAATAATTACTTATCCTCTACAGATTTTTACCATGAACTACCCACCGTGGTCTGGCGAGTCAAGGTTGTATATTTATTTTGTATTTTTCACCTTTGATTTTTCCCTCAGCGTGTGAAGACATTCCTAATTGATTATCCCGTCCAAACTCTTGAAAATACGTTTCCATATTTTTTAAGATTTAAAATCTTTGCAGATCTAATGAAGCGAAAATGGACCAACCAATAGAGAATGGAGAACAGAGCAAAGAGGAAGAAGTGATCTTGATTGGTGAGAATTTACCACCAGAAGATCCATCCACTGTGGAACTTATCAATGATGAAGATTCTACTGAGGGAGAAGAGGAAAATATAGGTGAGACAAATAAATTGTTACCTTCATATGGTCTGTATGTACAATATTATATTTAATTTTTAGGGCCGAAAGTAACATTTGACACAAGTCCAAGGAAAATGAGCAGGAATCAAAAAGACACTTTCATAATGAACTTAATTCCAATTAGGTACACAATAGCTCAGTGCGGACATTTGCTAGTTCAACACAGGTCGCCTGCACTGTCTTATGACTAATATTACCATTGGTTTGTCTATTTGTCAATTTTTAACTCATTGTGTCATTAATGGTTTTATTGGTTGATTCAATCAGGGTGGAAATAGTCTCAATGCATGTTAGCCATAGTCCATATCATATAATATGGGTTTTTTTCATTTCCTGTTTGGACCATTTCAACACTGACTGTAATGTTTGTTTCAGTTAGCATGGAAGATCTGTCCACGCTAGACGCAGACATGCTGTTATACAAGGCGTCTGCGGCTCATAATCTACCTGTTATGTGTCAGGCGCTTGCTCTCGGTGGAGACAAAACTTGGAGCAATCCTGCAGACCAGGGGCGCACGGCCCTACACCAGGCAGTCATCAGTGTAAGTACTTTGAGAAGCAGTTGATATTTTTTATAAACAAGATTGCACTTTTAGTCCAGGAAAGAACAAGATTTATTTTCCCACTCTAAAAAGGAAACTTGAGTTTGTTTTTAAAATGTCGAGTAAAAATGGTTGCTCATTGCATTAATGAGTGACAAAATCAATTTTCAGTCTTTATTTCTTTATCTTGACTGTAATCAGAGATGGGCACTGTTGTGATTAACTCATACGATTGCAAGGCCGTCATCATTGTTACTCGCCATACTGGCGAAATTGTGAACATTTGCAATTGTGGTGTAATCAGGAACATTTTCTGTGGGGACATCAGTATTGCCACCCGCAACAAGGCAAAATTGTAAACATCTGCAATCGAGATGAATGTGTGAACATCTTCCATTATCACAGACCCATCATCACCCCATGAAAATCATGATCATCTTCCCACATGTCAAGAAAATCCAGGGTTAAATCTAATCTCGATTGAAGATGAGGAATATATTTAAGGACTCACCCATCCCTATTTTCAGTTTGGTGCGTTAGTTACTGATAGTGTCATTGATTGCCTATGAAAAATCATGGGAATTCTGCAGCACCTCCCAGCATTTTAAATACTGTTCCCCTTTATTGGTACTGTATGAGTTAACGAGTTTGTCATATTTTTGCAGGGATCTGTAATGGCCTGTGAGTATTTGCTACTGAACGGATGTAAAATCAACGCCCAAGATGAAGACGGCCAAACCCCCCTTCATCTAGCTACAACACTAGGTCAGTAAACTTGAAGGAATGTTTTATACTTAAATATTGTTTAATTACTTGTGGTTGTAGAATATTTGTAGTGGAGTTTCAGAAGAAGTTTGTTACATCCTTTATCTCCCTTTTAAAAATGGGCGAAGTAATGTAATTTAGATGATTCTAATAACCGGTAGTATATATTTTATTTGTGATTTTCTAAATTGCTGGCATTTTTTTGGTAATAGTCCAAATGTGTTGTTTTCATCTAACCTCGATCTTTTGTTAGATAGCATCAGTGCTTGGTTGGTGGCCACTTTTACGGTTTAACCTTGAATTTGCCTGTTTACTCAGTCCCATACGTACAACTTATTAGGCAAAGTACGGGGTGAGCTGTTACAGTACAAATATTAATATGTAGTACTGATGATTTTAAATGGTTACACTGTTACACTAAGACGCTAGTTTGCTTTCATAGGTCGTCATCGTCACGCTGCTTAAACCATCAACTCACTCGTATGAGGCCAAGTTCAAATGTTTGTGGATTGTATTAGACTTTCCACTCCCACGTTAGTGCTGTAGCCAAACTGAAAATGAACAGGCAATTTAATATAAACTTAAACAATGAAATCTTTAAGTCTTATTAACTATCACACAAACCAAGGAAGGAAATAGAATGGGTATTCTTGGGCAAGCCAGAATAGGAGGTATCATTTTGTTTTTGTCGAAAATGAGAAAATAGAGTGGTAGAAACTGTAAGTGGTTCAATGAACTACTTTTTTAGGTAAGATATGGCTACAGCTGACCTAATGGGATGTCTCTTCAGTTTCCATAAGTGATTTATTCAAATGTGACATTCCTAATGGTTTTCCATTCACAGATCACATGGCGCAGGTGTTGTTATTGCTGAAACACAAAGCAGACCAACACTTGGTGGATAACAGTGGATCCAAGCCTCAAGACATAGCTGTGAAACAGGGAAATGCCAACATTGTAACAATGTGAGTATCTAGACATTTATATTAGATGGCATGGGTTACACACTTTTGTCATAGCCTACATCAGGACTAAGACACATTAATGTCTGAGGAATTTTTCTTCAACATGTGTGTTAAGGGAACTTTTTACTGATTGAGAGATATTAGTGCATAGAAAATGGAAATTAAAATCCACAAATCCAAAAAATTTTGTATTTGTTAATATCTTGCTCTCTGTTGTATTTCTCATTTCTAATGTAAAATGGGATAAAAAAAAACGTTTTTCATTTTATTCATTTTATTTTATCATAATTTTCACCCACCATACCAGCAACTTCTTACGTGAAACGTCCTTATTGTCAATCTAGACGTGGTGAAACTGCTGACTTTTAGATAAAATCCTGTTCCATGAAAATCCCTAATTAAATATATTCTCGTCCCAAAGATCAAGCATATATTTCTACTTTTACTTTTGTGATGTTTTAAGTGTGTCTATGGACTTATTTAAAAGTAAGCCTGCTTTCCTGTCAATTTCCTTAATAACTCCTGGCAAATGCCCTGATAATGAAATGAATGTAGGAAAGATTTTTTTATGACTCCTTAATCACAGGATGTGTTCATGAAAGAGGAGAAGGGTGTTCGTTTGTGAGGTGCCTATACATGTAACATCATCGTGAACAAATTGAAAATGAAAACAACTAAATTTTATATTTAAACATAAGGAGATTTTTTTTGTGTCCTGCTATTACCCAGTGCAATTAAAAAAAAAAGTTGTCAAATGTATTCTGGAATGTTGTATGATACAGGCTGCGACTTGGAGAACTAAAGGAGCAGATAACACTAGATGGTGGGACTGAGACTGATGACCCACTCACAGAAGTATGGCGTGATTACCAGCTGGCGTGTGAAACACCCCAGAAACAGGCCAAGCCACCACAATGACAGGTATGTCACCACAAGCATACAAACCTTAACATGTAAAAGAAACTAAAATGTATCATCACCTTCATTCTGTAACATTTCAGTTCTTTTATGTTATTAATACCTCAACAAGATTTGTAACAGCCAAAAGAGTGGTCTGTGTCCAATATTTTCGGTTCAAGTCAAGGCTAAGTTAGTCCGGGGGATTGTTGCCGGCCAGAAATAATTTTAGGACCAAGCTTGGGTCGTCTGTAAAGATGCACAATCAAAAATTGATAATTTTACTGGTGATGTTTACATGACTGCGAGAGATGATGTACATTATTGTATAAGCTCGAGGTGTGTAAATCGTGAAAATTCAGGCCGGGTAGTAAAGGCACAGTTCAGATATTGAAAGGATTGGATTTAGATGAGGTTATATTTCAATCTTTGTGAACTGAGTTATTCTTTCCATTCCCGTGTTAATATTGTAGCCTGCTTTAGAATAGCCTAACTGGCAAATTAGACTATAGTCGCGACTTTTCTTCAACCGTCTCGTGCCCAATCATCTTCAGGTTGACTAGTTATTTATTGTTGTTTTATTCATCCCTGAAAAACTCCACCATGAGGATCACAACGTGAAAATGTGCTCCTTTTTTGACAGCATGAAAGCTGTAAATAATTATAGTACAATGTGATTGTTTTGACAGACGACAGGTAACTTAACCCTCCGAGTGTTATGTGTCATAAAAGTGAGTATTTGTAAACAGCTTGGTTAACCTCGCACCGATGACTGATGTGTTTTATTACGTTTATCATTGTTTTAGTGTTAAAATCAAAAGTAGTGATATACGTGGTGCATTATAAGAAGATTTAAGTGATTTTGAAGGGCTGGTTGATGATGCTGAAGAAGTAGGTAGTGATATTGATGTAAATTATCAGCCAGATTCCTAGCTATGGTAAGGCTTATGCATTCTTAGCTAAACGCTATGTACCGAAATCTGTTTTTTGCCCATAACTTATTTATTTGCAAACCTACTTCCTTATATTTTTGGAATCTTCATAAAATTCTGAACAAAGTGGCTGTTTTAAAATATTTGTAGACCTATAAATTGTAACAATTTATTGAGCGCAAACATACATTTTTTTCATTTATTTTATAATTTTTAAGAAATGTTAACCCCACAAAAATGGTTGAACATTTTTTTTGTAATGTTTTATATGTTACATTGAAGCCCATAATTTTCCAAACAAAATGATATATAAAACAGTATACTTTACATTGTTTTTAAGTTTCTAAGATACATTTTAATAAAACCCTGCGATTGCGCAATAAATGGGCGAACATTAAGACCAAAACTAGAGACACTTGGAGGGTTAAACATTAATTAGGTAACTAATTACTTACAGATAATACAGTTATGTTTGTGTAATCTTTAACCATTACTGCAACATAATTGTTTTGTCTGTTTTCAGGTCAATTCTTGCCAAAAATGAACCAGCCGAATGATCATGTTAACCATTCATTATATTTATTACACATCTAATTTTTATCATCTAACTTGTAAGATACAGGTATTGCATTTTTCTTCTGTGATCTTTTCTACTTTGATTTTTTTTTAATTTTTATAACTAATATACAAATATTTTACATTGTATACTTTAAATGTCCATAAAATGTTTTAATTGAATAGGCTATTACTTATATTTAGATAAATTAATGCTTATTCTTCATGTTTTTCTTAGTTTGAATATTTTGTTTTTAACAACCAATCAGACATACTATAACAAGCATTCATTTTGCAAAAACACTTGTGTACCATCAAATTTATTTTTCTCTCTAATTTTAAAATGTTAAAACATTACATAGTTGGAAAGGCCACCACGAAAGAAAATGTAATATTGAAAATGTAAATACAATCCAATTGTAATTTATTATCTTGTACATCATCATTTCATTTGATTATTTTTTTATACATTTTATTATCTAGTAACCTTACTTGTTTATTTGGGCGGTTAAAAACCAACATGTTAATTTTATAAACATCTTCAATAAATTACTTAATTTTTTACTGTATTTATAACATGTAATTTATTTTAAGGAGATGGATTTAAAATGCAAAGTAGTCATTCTTGAAACTGTTGCTATGTTGAAGTACAATTTTTGTCCTTTCTGTATACATGATACTTAGTATGTTATTGTTATGTTATTTTAAAAATCTATCATTTGTAAATAAGTAAATGTTTGTTATGCCTTATTGTATAATCTCATGAAAAAGACTACATGCCCACATGAATACAATGAAAAGCCAACGGTAACACTCTACATTCTTACATCTGTGATAAAGATTGACATTTGTATTTTTTTAAACTAATAATATTTATGAAAACTATTTTTTTACAGTTATGTGTGAAAAATTTTCATAAAATAATTTTCTCTAAGATACTTAATATTAATCATACGTTAGGTTATTGGTATATTGATAAGCAAGAGGCGTTTTTCTAATATCATTGAGTTTGAATACTGAAGCAAACATTCCAGCTATATAGTAGACCAACTTCCTCTTGTTTAAGATTAGACCATTTTCCGACTAAAAAAGTTCCTAACCATCAGAAACAAAAATGAATGAATATATCAAAACTGCATAAAATGTGTTCTACAAAACTAGTAGTAGTAGACTACAGTAATACACTCGACAGTAAAGGATAACAGCATAGGTAATGAGTTTCTTTATTACGTTGCTATGAATTATGAATTATTCAGTGTGTTTTTTCAAGATGGTAAATTGAATAATTGGTCAAAAGAGGTTTCTTTAAAATGTTGTTCTACTGATACTTGATGTGGACATTGACTGCTTTAGTTTAGCATATACGGAAGACCCCCTTTTAACCGACCTCGTATTAACCAATAATCGGATTATCCGCCTCACATCGTAAAAATAATACAGTTTGTTTTAACCGACCTTGCTTTGAGAGCAGTTCGGCTTAACCGCTGCTTTCTAGGAATCCCGGCATTTCCGCTCCCACGCGGGGTGATGAAAACTGAACCATACGCTTATCTCCACAGGATATGACTAAGAATAAGTTATTTTGTATTGATCACAAAAAATATAACATAGGTATTGTCAGTTTGTCATCATCATTTGTAGCGTGAGCACATCCTGATCTTATTTGTTATCAGTGCGGCAAATTTATAACATCGTAAATTGCGGAAAGTGTGTTACGATTTTGAGAACTGATTATCTTATTGCTGGAGTAAACAAACAATGCAACTTGTAGGGAGGACAGGGAAGGGGGGTTAACAACTCCAAGGTCAAGATAGTTTATGTGCCTTGAGCCTCCAGTGAGAGGCTATAAATAAACATCCTGTCTTTTAACAAAATGGTTGCTTGTATCTTGAATTTCAACAAAAGGTTTTGTACTTTATTACGATGGATTTTGAAAGCATTAATTAATACACAGTACTAAAGTTATTAAAATAGGAATTTTTATTGACTCTTGCCTAGTACTTTAATATATTCCACTGAAAGTAGGCCTATTTGACTTAACCATGTTTTGTGTTTATTTGTGACTTTTCTATCAATATGAGAAAGGAGATAAAAGTAGTTTGTTTTATAAATAATGCAAGTATGACTTCAAAATAATGATTATATAATGTTATGATCTTAGGGATTCCCCGTTTTAACCGACCTTGGTCGGTTAAAGTTGGAGTTATCCGACCTAGGTCCGGTCCCATTAGGGTCGGTTAAGAGAGGGTCTGCTGTATATAGCTCAAATCAAACCTGATAGTTCACTGAAGGTTCCTAGACCAAAATATATAGCATAAAGTAATAAGAACTGGTGAAATAAGTAATTGAAGTAAGAAATTGAAAAATATCTAATTTATGTTTTTTGGTCCATAATACAGCAGATAAAGGAATGATATTGCTTGATGACAAATCTGTGTGTGAATACCTTTAATTTAAGGCCAAAATTATGAAGATCGGTCAGGTATAAGGTTTGAATTGACTCAGAAAAGAATATCCAACATTTTTTAATACCTAGGCCAATATAGATTGTTTTCAAATGTCTTTTGTATTAGAAAGTAGTTTTGCGAGCAAACTTAATTTTCCTGTAGTGTATGTTAAAATATTGTTCCCACAAGGGGCAAAAGAGTTCCATGTAAGCTTGAAGTCAACAAACGTTCTCAAGTCTGCAAGATAATATTGTAAGCCTAGATCTATAGTTGGTTAGTAAAAGTTGAAAATCACTAAAATTAGAATATCAGATAGCACCTACGATTTAGAGAAGGAAACTTATGTGTTAACAAATCATTAATTTTGAAATAAATTCCAAATTTATTTACTAGAACTTAAGGTTAGTTTGTTAGCTTATTTATGTAGATTCCCTTTAATTTGGACACTTAAGCTGGGTTTTCCTAGGCGCAGAATCTGATTGGGGGTTGAGAGCGGAGTGTGGAGAAGCAATTTTGAAATGAAAAATTATTTATTTACACAGTCAAAGTTAGGGCACAGATAACATACTACTATAACTCAGAATGCCAACCGCATGGTAAAAAGCATTAAGTGTTTTGAGAGAGCTTTGCCTGTCAATTCGTAGGTAGCCCCACCAGCTTTGCTATGCTTGTCATTCTGGGTTATAGTAGTATGTTTCCTGTGGTTAGGGCCACATGGCCCTTTCCTACACTTAATTTGTGAAAACCTGTGTAATTTTCCGCTCGTCCAGTGGCAGTCCGCTCTGCTTCTACGAAAATCTTACCATTATATTACCTATGATAAGAGGAGAGCGGACTACCATCCACGCCTAGGATAACCCAGCTTTAGGGATCGGAACCTTTTCCGAACTAAAAAAGCGTGAATGAACAAATTATACAAAAATAAAACAAATCATTTCTAAATCACATATTATTTGGGCATAACAGAATTTGTCTTCCAACGCTTTTCCATAAGTTTTTTACATGTAGAAAAAAATATGTCAATCATGCTTTATTGTGTGAATTATAACAAGTTAAGGAAGTGTAAAGTGTGGTCAAATCTTTAAGAATTTGTATTGAGGGCTAGTAAAAAATTAACAAGTATTTAATTAACTTAAATCATGAAAAAAGGTGATCAAATCTGCGTAATCACAGAGAAACAAGGTTCAAAAGAAACATACTTATGAGACAACCGCGCGCTTTTAGCACTGGTATATTATGCCGGAAATGTATACTTAGCACATATAAACTAAGCATTATACCAAACACTGCCTTTATAATAGTTTTTTTTTGTCATTGAACGCTTGGCACGAGCCTGGCATTGTTTTCCACATTACTTCAGGCTAGACCTAGGGGTTGCGACATTATCACTTGGTTAAAACCCATTGGTGACTTGGCGGGATTTGAACCCGGGACCTCAGGGACTGAAGTCCTGCGCTCTAACCACTACACCAGCTCGCTCCCCCGCCTCTATAATAGTAACAACAAATATTGTTTGTTTGTTTGTTTAAAATTTATGGGATTAAAGTAAACCGAATGTATTATGTTAAAGCTGGGTAAAAAAGGTCTAATTACATTCCAATGTTGTTATAGAATTGGCAAAATCTGAACACTTAACAACAGTAGGCCTACTTATGGTAAGAAATTGCGAATGACTAATCTGTTAGACCAGATATAAATTAAAGTAACTACAGTTAGTTGGCCTATAAAATAATAAAAAAAGAAGGTGCTTTTAGGAAAGTTTATAGGTTTGAAATTGTTAAGCTAAGTTATTGGCGATTGTGGTCGATTGTTTGACTGTTATGACCAAACCGTCCGTGAAGGAAACGACAACTGAACCCCTTTAACCAGAGGAGACTATTTACCGTTAATCACAGGCCCAAAGAGCCAGCTTTGATGATTATTAATATTAATTGAACTACTTTAACTACTGAAATACTATTGTCTTTGAATATATACATAGGCTATGTTACTGAAAAGGATATATATGCAGCTATAACAGAACAAAATAATTGACAGAAAACCTAGCATTCTAAGAGATTTGACCTTAAAGCAAGACTGAAAACAGAATCACACAATTTATTTGCATTCACCGAGTTTGGTGGAAGTTTTAATCAAAATATATTATCTTTTGCTATAGTTTTACCAATGGAAACTATTTACTGAACGAATCTAGAGAATAATATAAAGTCAAACTGATAAGTTGAGGCTGTTGACAGGTATTTTACAAGTTAATCTCAAATGCAAGTGACATTCATTCTGACAAATAATTCGTTGGTGTTAATATGCCAGTTGTTTTTAAGATATAGAAACATTATTTTATGTGTTAAGATTCTTTTTTATATTAATGTTGTAAATAAAAAGTATGTTAATGTTGAACTGTGTGTAATTTTGTTCCATTCTTAAACTAAGTTCTATACAGGTGAGAAAAACACCATTTTCGGGGTATAATGGGAGGGGGGGGGGGGGTTCATGGAATGAGCAAAGCTGGACTTCAATGACAAATCACATTGTTTTAAATTCAACTTTGAGAAAAGAGGGAATCTTTTTATCAGATTTCCCATGAAGGGAATAAGCTATTACCGTAGGTCTTATGGTGAGATCTTGACCCAGGTCCGATTTACTTTTTGGTTTTGATGTCCTCAGAGGCCAAAAACAACTGCTCAGACTATAACAGCATTACAGATTTGTTGTGGGGGGTAATGAATTAGATTTTATTTCAATGCAAATATGTACAGATCAATGTTTTTTTCTCAACTTAAATTGCCCTTGGTTAGTGGCTGATGAAACAATAAGATACACATTTTGGGACTGGAACTTTTAACCCTAGGTGGTTATTGCATGTAAATTTCACTTGGAGCAAGTTATTTTGATTATCCCACACACCCCGTCCCTCCACCAGCAGTGCACTCCTTCCAGCGGTGCTCTCAGCCATTTGCCATGTGACGACTGCCTTGGTTGGGTTGTAGCAAGGCCACACTAAAAATCAGGCCGTAATGCTCGTCAAGCATGACTTCACGATAGAAGACGGCAATGACGTCGGTATTTATTTATTTATTTTCCAAGGAAAGAATAAAACAAGCAGCTGATCACAAACGGCAAACATTACGTCATTGCCGTCTTCAATCATGACGTCATGCTTGACGAGCATTACGGCCTGTTTTTTTAGTGTGGCCTTGGTTGTAGTGTGTTTCTTTTAAGATCCCATCCTCTTTCAATTTCCCCTTAAAATCCCTTTCTGGCAAACTTAACTTGTAACGTCTTTCTCCCTCCAATTGGCAATACAATGAGACCAGTTAGTTTTAGACAGTGCTGCTATCTGTGAGTGTTTCAGCAAACTACATCAACTTAAGTCAAAACGCAGCACATCACCGCACGTCATTTGCTATTTGTCAGTCCAAAATATTTGAAAGGGTTCGCTCGACGCTGCCATTGGTTGGCTGCAGGCAACGTGTTAAAAGTAGTCTTTATGTTGCATGGTTTCAATTTCACAAATAGAAACTAAATTACTTTAATTTTTAGTTTGTGAAAAACTGACTAAACTATATCAAGTTCTTGCTACTAAAACAAAAACAAAAACCAGCTGAGCTGATACTTGAAACGGTAAACAATTCAATTATTGGTCAACCATAATCAAGAATCAGCTTAAATCAGACCCAATAGGGGAAAAAAATAATACAAACCAAAGGACCAAAATCTTTAAGATATTTATTATCACATATCGATTTCAAAATCACATTTGAAAAGCTAATAGTAACAGTTTCTGTTAAAATAATCTAACCTACTAATCCATATAAAAAAAAAAAACAATAAAATATATAGAAAATTAATTTGTTTAACTCACCAGTAGAAAAATTATCGTTTTACAAATCCCACAAGTATCTAGACATCTTGAGTATTTAATAAATGCTGTTTACAATTTACGATGTAAGGAATGAACCTATGATTTTGACTACACTCGTTGGATTGTTGAGGTGAAGATGATGCTTCCCCTGAACTCTGTGGTATTCGAAGCGCTTGGCGCTCTGTTTTATGATGTCCAAGACTTGGTCATAGAGTTCCGGGTAGACTGCGCTAATGCCAGGTTCCGCTCGTATATTCAGGTATTCGCAGCTTATCTTCTTGGCGTACGCCAGAACCAAATCTTTGGTGACTACTCCAAGACCTGACAGCTGAAAAGGTGCATGGATTTGTTATCTTAGTTTATTATTATTAATTACGTGTACTGGGACATCCCTTACTTTAATAATGTCCAAAGGCCAAATATAAAGTTATTGTCAACAACAACAGTTATTGTCACAATCTAAGCAAAACTGAGATTGTGATTTTGACCAAAATGTGTTTACCGGACTCGTATGGTAATTCCACTTGTCTGATAATCACTTATTTTCAGGACTAGTAACGTATACTATTCCCTCCTCTCCGTTAATAATAAAAAAAGGCTAACTTATTGTAGGGAAAGATGATTTGCAATTCTTTTAATTTTGAATTTTTTGTCCTTCCACATGGGTATCATCAGCAAACAATGGGCGAGCCAGTACAGTACAAGAATGAATGGTGCCTATGTTTCACAGTCCATTTGCTCACCATCCAAACAACCATCTCACCCGATACACATTCGTAGGCCTATAAATTTTGTCAGCTCATTCGGACACTGAGCTACGAATCATTTGATTTCCATCATGAGTTTATCCAACTAAATGAGTCGTTCAATACAACAGTATATATGACTAAGTCTCACCTTGACTTTGGGATCTCGAGTGAAGGAAAACAATTGGGGGTTGGAAGGAGATGAAGACATTCCTCGTCTCATAAGGACCTCCACGCCTTCCCTTGTAACAGAGTATCCGTAGGCATCTGAAGCCACGTCCAACATCATTTGTCTCTCAAAACATCGACCTTTGTCCTTGGAACCCCCATCCAATTCAAGAAACCTAAAAAATTGATTAAGAAAATTTCAATCTAAAATTTTGTAGCCATGAATATCAGTTATCTTTAACTTAATCTCTAATGAAGCAACCGTCTAAACCTCCTTAATATACGAAGCTCTCTCTACCTCTATTTCCCCACTATGCGGTTACCCTTACGAGTGTTGCTGTGATCATGAGTGGCGATCACGGTATTGTCGAGACCATGAGATATGCTCACGAGTGTGCTGCGACTTTGACGATCATCAGTCTATCAAAATCATAATTTCTCAGTAGGCCTTTGCGGGTCAGGTTAAATCTGTTTGCGGGACATGGGTTGGAGAACCCCATTTTAGGCTATTATAGCTTACAATAATTATTAATTCTATTTTTATCTAATGGTCCAATAAATTCCTTAATTAAATAAGAAATTTTGCGTATAGACATTCTATGACTCTTCTGTAAAATCTCACTTACTTACGTAAAACATTATTTAAAAATTAGGTCTACTCTACATATACAGTAGCCTACATTTAAATAGCCTAAAGGCTACATCCGTCAACACAAAATGCTAGCTAAAAGAAAGCTCAGATATAAAAAAGGCACAATGATAACCAAATCTTCTATAAGTTAACTTACTCTTTTAATTACTATCCTACAAAATAAATTCATGATGTAGCCTCTAAACTGTTTAATTAGACAAATATAAGGTACATACCTTTACATCCTATTCAGGCATCGTCAGGTGATTTCCTACCAAGAATGTTTGATCTTCCACGATAGAGTTAAATGTTAAGTGTTTTTCGTGCCTTATGTTTGTGTATTTGTTTGAATGTTTTTTTGACAACTCTATCATGGATGAAGATCAAACATTCTTGGTAGGAAATCAGTAATCACCTAACGATGCCTGATAGGCGAAACATGTTGTGAGTTTATCTACAACAACATTTGAACTGTCGACATAAAGGTACCTTATATTTGTCTACAAAATAATACTAAATACACGCCTATTCATCTGCACAAATAATATTATGCCAATAGCAAAATAATATGTGTATACCTCATCTACTAACTTATCAACGTTGGCTCTCGTGTTATCAGCTATAAACTCTGGAGTGCGAAGCTGCGGGTAGGCACTGTCAATGCAGATGAGCTTGTCGACTTCGTCTGGGTAAGTAGCTGCATATAAGAAACAGACGGATCCCCCGCGTGAATGACCCATGAGGGAAACTTTCTCTAGTTTGAGATGTTTGACAACACGACGAAGCAAAATAATACTGTCCCACCAATGGAAGTAGTACTGACCCTGTAACAAAATTTGAGTTGGTAAAAATACAAATAATAAAATTACCCTCGTTAAAAATGAGAATTCTTTTCCAGATCAGTTATTCTCTTCAGTTGTATCTTGTAAGAACCTATTCACAACAAAAGAAGATTGAATGAATTTAAAGAGGCAAATATTAAAGAAAATAGTTAGCCCTAAAGCAGTACCGGTATTAGATTATTTAATATCTTCTAAGGTTTATAAAGATTCTAAGGGTATCCAAGAACCAAGATAAAGGTTTTTATCTACAAACTAGAAAATGCCTAGATACATTTTAGATTGAAAAATTCACTGAGTCTGAATGTTTTAGTTACACAGGAACTATACCGGTACCAAAAGCCTTATGGATCAAATGTTATGATTTTACTGCATTCCCCTCGCCATTTAACACGTTGACCGCGCGTGCCGACTTTAGTCGGCGTCGCCAGCGCTCCCAGGTGGCGCGCGCCGACTAAAGGCGGCACCAGACCAACAGAAATATATTGAGTCAGTGTGAGCTTAGCCTCAGACGGAGACGTTATAATTGTTGCTAGCCTGCCAGCTTAGAATGCGAGCTTTACTTTGGTGTAGGTTGGTACTAAAATTTCCCGTAAAGTCCTGTCTGGCAATGCTTTTGTCCCGGTTTCGGGGATTTTTTCTCTTCAACCCACATTACAAAGACACTGGATACGGATCCGTGCAGTGCTGCTACCTTTGGGTGTTTCAGTGAACTACATCCACTCTCGGGGTAACGCAGCACAGTCACCACTGCTCTTTTGTGATTCGTCAGACTGAAATATTTGAATGCCAATTGCGTTCGCTGATTCGGTTGCGCGCCGGGGCTTCGCCCGCCACTGGGGAGCGCCTGTAAAGTCGGCGCGCGCAGTCAACGTGTTAAGTAATGTTCATCAAACAGTCTCCTTTTGTAAGTCGGTGGTTCAGCAAATATTGTCTTTGATGTATCCAAGGCAGCTAAGTCGTAGGAGCTGCCACTTAAAATGTATCATATAAGAATAGGAATACTTTAAATTCAATTGATCATTTCACAAAGAAATAGGACACATCATACATTAGGCCTACAAAATAATCATCTTAGTACAAATTTCTTATGGCCTATATTATGACATTAGAAATTATGAACAAGGTGACTATGGGAACCTATTATAGTAATTTATATATCATTAGAAACTAGATTTTTACTTGTAAACAATCAATGGTGGAAAGATTTTTATGCTGTGACAAAAACTGAACGATCGTTTGAATTTTATTACTGTAATGTCTCTTGACTCTGTCGCCATTACTGTGTTGCTAAGTGAATTGAATACTAAGTTAACACAAATATGAACGATTGATAGGATCGGGTAGGAAAGAAGAAGACGACAAACATTAAGTTTATACAAAGAGGACAAAGCGGTACAGTAACTGAGCGTTGATTGTTGTTCAACTAATCAGTTCTTATTTAGACATGTGAGGTAACTTAAGTTAAGTTAGGTGTTTTGGAGTTAGGTTAGATTAGGAAGGTAAAGATTAGTTAAATGAATCGAGTTGATGATTTATGTTATCACCAGACTGTTTTTGCACTATTGAAATAGTGCTTTAAACACGATAAATAATAATTTTAAAAAGTGCTTGCATGTAAGTTTATGTTGCTTTATCATTAGCCCCGCTGTGACAGCTGTTTTTAAAAGACTTTCTTTCAGTAATCCGGCATTTTCAATACCATTAGGCCTATCCATCACTACCAAGGGTTAAATTTAACTTGTAGGGCAAGTCATTAAGCTTATCACAACTCACGGGGTAGTAATGAGAGGAGAATCCCTGACCAGGAAGATCAAGTGCCAAGAGGCTCAGTTGAGGAGGCAGTAAAGGAGCAAGAGTGTCAAACGTGCTTGCGTTGTCCTGCCAACCGTGGAGACAGATCACTGGCGGTTGGTCTCTCGGACCCCACCACTTTCCTGAAAGAGATTTACCATATTATTATAGACACTGAATTTTGTTCCCATAACTTAGTTTTGGCAACACAGTTATGGATCAAGTAGGTTAGGGTAAAATGAAACACGTCCTGCTAATATGTTGGTTGTGACCCTATTTGTGTCAGTTTAATCATAGACAAATAGAATAAATATAGACTGTCAAAGGAAGGTTCCAAAGCCCACCGCTAGGAGTGCCGTGTAGTTACGGAGCCCACACCGCTGCAGGCGAGTAGCGCAGAAGCCATGTGCGACCAGCAGATGCTGCAGCGGTGTTCGCCGTAACTTCACAGAAAACCTAGCGGTGAGCGCAAAAACTTATGCTACCGCAGCACAGCTGATGGTCTATATTTATTCTATTTGTCTATGGTTTAATGGGCCTAAGTTATTTGGCAATTGAAATTGTAGGCTAACTAAGTTATGGTTTAATTCCCTTACTGTAATAACTTGCTTAGGCCTATAACATACTAGAAATATAACAGAATGTGAAAACATGATCTCAGAACCTCGTACTTACTCTGGCAAGTTAATATGAAAAAAAACATAGGACATGAATGACAACTAGGGTTGACTAAATTTAGCCTGGTTTTGAGCTATGTCATATCTAATTAACTGAGTAGGCTATACTATAATAGACTATTCAAATTAACTTCATAATATTGGAAATGATCAGTGTCTTACCAGCAACATAACCCCATGGAACAGGTATTTTGATTTCAGATGAGGTTGAATTCTCAGACATTCCCTATTAGGTAGCAGTTAGTTATTGAATATTTGTCGAAGAATATTTTAAATATAATATTTCAGAATTAATAAAAATAAGTGTAGGATTAGACACACATTAATTGCTGAATTTATGGTTAAGAGCAAGATAACAATAACAAACAACAAACAAGGTTATGTACTATGGATGGTTTGTCACCGAAAAGGTCAAGGTATAATCTTTTCCACGCTGGCGCTGACTGCTGTGAGTGCTTTGACCATGCAGCTTCATAGTCGCAGTACGCTTCCCACTGGTTTTAAGTTAACTTGTTCAAATGTGACGGCGTGTATTAAAAAACATTGAGTTTGGTGTACTAAAGAGTGTCACCCCCTTGCCAAACTCCGGGGAATGGTCCTATTAATGCAAATAATAAGGAAATCAAGAATTCAATTCTTCCCAACAACGCTTTGCTAACAAAAAATCCGCTATTTTGTTTTTTACATAAAAATTTTTACCTTTGAATTTTGCCAACCAATCTTCATAATATAGCTGAAAAACCACAGTTAATTAGGCCAAGTTTTACATCTAATAGACAATGTAGGCTACTGAACATGTTAAATGAGCGGCGTTCTTCTGGCCTGTAATTTACTACTACAGTAATAATTGTAATTTTTATCTTTTTATAGTTTGGTATTTTAAAACGTCAACATCTTAACATTTTATCGGAATTTTTAAACGTAAATAAAAGTGTCCTTAATGTGTTTTTTCATAAAATTGGCTAAAGTTTTTAGTAATTATATTAGTTATTAAAATAAAAATGGCCACCAGTTTCAAATAATTGTTTTTCTAACATTGGTTGCTTCCACCAAATACATCCCAAGTTTCAAGAACATTGATTAGGAAAAACCAAAAGATAAAGACGGGTATGTAAAAAATACAAATTAGCAGATTATCTGGATTTACAGTATTAACAACAGTACGGTATTATTTTGACGGTACGGTATGCTAGAGTTAGAGTATGATCACCTTAATTAGTTTTAGGTTATACTGCCATACAGTTAAATAATCAATCAATTAAGAAATAAGTTTTCCAAAGTAAACAGTGATGGGCAAAGTTAGCAGAACATTAACTTACAGCTCTTGTGTTAACACAATTACTACAATAGATATCTGTGAAAGTTTGAACCTTATATAGTCTGAGTCTGAGACAATCACACAATATTGTTCTTCAAACTCTTTCAAAGCTTCTTAAGGTCGATGCAATTAACTTGTATTGGAAAAGTTTGCTAAAGCTCTCGAGGTTGGTTTTCAGGACTTTTCTAACAACAAACTTTACGTATTGTTTCGATCACTAACTTATAATGATGTTTATTTTTTCCGAATTTCAGTTTGAATGTACGTAAAAAAAAGTTGAATGAGAAGATTTTTGTTTATGGAAATAATGAAGAAGTCTTTCTAATGGTTTTTGATACTTTGATTTCTAAGGCAGTTCCTCAAAAGAAGGATTAGAGTAGTAGAGACAACATTGATGTTACAGTTTTAATAATTTTCCATATTTGTTATGATATAATATAGTAGTATACTAGCATAGATCAATTTTTAATTAAATTGAAAATTCATGAAATACTGGTTATGATTTGATTTTAGATGTTATCACAAGATTTGATTGACGGAGTTTGGTAGTGGCTACAGCACCAGTCTTCTGTTGTGTGGTCCAGGTTCAAATATCACCAATTGCAAGTATAAAACTGCTATTAATTATAAAATGAACCAGTGGTTACGAACCTACTCTAAGTTGTGTAGATCCACTTACCAATCAAGCAAGAAGAACTGTCTTTTGATTATGTCCTTTAAAGAAAAGAAATACTAGTGTACCATTATTGTATTTTATAGCTAACTTGGGAGTGAATCTAAAGTAATGACCACCACCGTAATATAGATCAATAAACACATTGTTAAGACAAGAAGTGGCTACATTAAATGTAACACCCTTGTAGTACTTTTCAAGTTAAACCTTTAAATAGTCATTTAATTAAAATTTATCATAAAAAATAAAGGTAACAAAAATAGAAAGTATTTTGTATTTGTAAGAGAAAACAACTGCATTGTGATTACCGTTGCACAGATAAAAACACTTCATTTCATTTCCATACAACTTTTAGAGAGTTGCAATACCAAACAATGAAATGAAGCGAGGGATTCAAGTTTATAATGGAATTCAGGAGGAGTTAGTCACAGCTCAGAAAACACTTTCAGTGACTTTATTTAATTTGATTACGTCAGGAAAGAGAGACATCCCTCCCCATCACACAGATATTGATTATAGTAGTCATTATGGTACAATAAAAACAACTTTACTGACTATTTCTCAGGGTATTAGCTGTAAGGTGACAGAGATCAAAGAAATAATGGCACACTACAGAGATTTGTTTTGCATATGATAGATGTATAGACTTTTCCATTCTCATGGTGAGCTTTAGCCAATTTCAGAATAAATACCCCCACCGCAGCAAACATGCCGACTAAGCGAATTTACATTAGTCTGAATTGATTTTCTATTGAATCTATCTAAATAACATTTGGTTTAACGAGTACCTAGGTTTGCTGCTACAAGGAAACTAATAAACGGTGTTTTGTAGTAAAATCAATCAATCAATTATTAAAATATTTATAGCTTAGTATAAAATAAATACAATCGCCAAGTTTGATCAAAATATATCCATTTACAAGCAAACTACAACATTTTACAATACTCTCCATAAGAATAGCATGGGAATTTTAAATTTACAGTATTTCGAATGTTATCCGTTACCAATTATCGTACAAAAACACTTTGGCATACTAAATTATTTGTTTTTTAAGCTCTTTAAAAAGGTGTCGAAAGAAATCGAAAAATCTTAAGTTTTGAGGGTCAAAAATAAGAAAAACCAATTTTTACCCCATAAAACCCCCCGTAAAACCCCGTTCCCATGGTCCGATCATGCTGGTTCGCGAACTCATTCAAGTTTATCTCACCTTACACCTTTAAACCAAATTTCATCAAAATCGGACAAAAAATACAAGTTATCGTGTTCACGGACACACATATATATAGATTTTATATATACATATATAAACATTTGAACGAATAAGGTTTTTGGCCTCTGGGAACATCAAAATGAAAAAGTATATTGTTCCCGGGCCTAGGTCTTACCATGCCACAGCTATACTTCCCTATAGGGAAATTCGCTAAAACGAACGTAGTTGAAAATTAACTGCTCGACAGAGTCTGCTGGTGTAAAGTACTGATAACACAGACAAGGTATAACTTACTTGTCCCCTTGTCTTTGCTGTTAGCTGTTTTTGGCCAACTTTTTAACCAAGCAAAAAAACTTCAAAGTTTATTGTTTGTAAAGTATAGTATCTTTTAACACACAACTATCACAGTATAAAATTCGAATTTTCCTAGTAGCTCACTCTTAGAAAGCCTAATTAAACTATGCTATATTCCATTGAAAAATTTGTTACGTCTTGTCATATAGATAAGGTATCTGCCCTGGTATTTATTTTTGATGCCTCACATTCACATCCTAAGACGCTAAGCTCTAGCCGCAAATCGTTATACACATAGCTTTATGCTTTAGGTGTTGTTGCATTATCACATTGATAAATGCTCTGCATCTCAAGGAATTAAGCCCCTTAATGACCAGTTCTTTTCCTACCCTATCATTTAAGTCAATAATCATTAATCGACTAGAATAGGCATTAACCACACCACAAGCTCTTGAAAGTAAACATTCACTAAATGGAAAAGTAAAATTATTGAAGGTGACAAAAATTTAATTTTAATAAGTGCATTACTGAACAATGTAATACAAAGCTTATAGTGGTCGGGTGGGAATTACTTGGCCGTTTGAGGTTTATCTTTGTGATGAAGTTAATATTCTGTGGTGAGACACAGCTTTAGGCTTATCCTACATTATAACAAAAACAATACATTAACTAAGACTAGTAGACATTAATGCTGTCTCCATATTAATGTATGGGAGCTCAATACGAATATGGTTTAATAACATAAAATTGGTTAAATATTTTAAAGTTTTCTTTTATTTATGATATATTACCAGATTAATAAGCGTTTAAAAAATGCATGGTTATATTGAATACTTTTTAAGAAGGACAACAAAATGGCTTCTTGTCATATACAAACTTAACACAAAAGGGTAAATTATTACTGTATATAATTTTACAGCAGAATATTTTAGACTTTGTCGTGAAAAACGAAGAGTGCTGTGAAAAATTAATCGTGTATTTAACTACTCTACGAAACTTAGAAAAGTGTAAATTAACGTAAAAAATAATATAGACACATTTATAAACACGAGTATCATGTAGCGAAATTTGCCTTCCTAATAGGAAAATAGTTCAAAGCTTTGAAAAAACAGTCGTCCATTTGAAAGCACATATTGGATTTGTTTAAAACTCACAGTCACAAACGGGTGCTTAAACCAACTGAAATCATTTGAAGTTTTACAAACGTTTAAACACTTTTAACGTTTTAGGTTTTTGTGATTTTACAGTGTAAATTTTATCCTTTTGACTGATATGAAAGTAGTTTACGTTATAAGTAATTCTAAAAGACTGCCTTACAATTTTCTTTGTAGTTACATCAGGGAATATTGTGTTACTACGGAGGAAAAGTGGAGTGAAACAATGTTTTATGTCACATAGAGAACTACACAGTATGGTCGTTTAGTATAATATTTCCCAAAGGTTCTAATTTAAAGCAGGGAGTAAACCATTAAAATATGCATATAATTTGTTGAATTTACGATAGTGAAAATACGCTTAAGTTAGCCCATTGGGGTTAATGATGCTTGGAGTGTCCAATCGAAATCGATCACCACTTAGCACCTTTTATGGGCATTTACCGTCTTGTGAATTAACAATTTAAGTGTAAATATATGTCTCAAGTGTGGTTAGATGTGTTTTATTTACTTTCTATAAATTTAATAGCACATGGAATCCTTATCAAGAAGATATTTATAAAGAACTGTAATAATATACAGTATTTAGATATTTTCATAAGCCAGCTTATAGCGATAAAATTACTTTTAATTACTGTGATAAGTTACTGTTAAGTTAATTACTGTTAAGTTACTGAAAGCACAGTTTATGATGCTTCATGTGAAATATGAAAATACTTTATAATTATTTT